TTGAAAACAAAGTTGCGTATATCAAAATTTAAAGATTTCTACAAGAACTTTATGTTGTGCCAATCGCAGGGCTTCAATCCCGCATTCTTATCTACCAACCAGAACTTTCCGCGCTCCTGGTCCTTCCCACAGAGTAAGTTGAAACACTATTAACAGTCACAGTAAGCTGTAAACAAGTATCAAAATAGACTAAGATATTGTTATACACAAATATTAACTTGATACAAAACAAGCTAAAAAAATTTCAACCCAAACCACTGTTCATAATGGAAAACTGGCATTCCTCTTTCGTTATGACAATTTTCTCCATCCAAGCATTTGCATCTTCTCCTTTTACCCGAGAAGAGAAAGATAAATGGCTTATTGAGTCACTGGCGCGTGCACAACCCTTGTGAAGAGACCACAACCCACCCATGAGCCCATTTCACAAAAACCAAGTGGTTTTAGTCAAGACACGCGCTACCCGACCAGGACAGCGATACCCATCTTCTCCACTTGTGAGATTTTGGAAGGGCTGTTCCTGAATTTCTTGGAAAGGCTCAGAAAAGAGAAGTGTTTGTTTTTAATAAGTCTACATCTCAAGTGTTTCAAGACTTTGTATTTTCCCCTCGGAGGTTCAATTCTCACAGCTGTAGGAGGCTGTCATCCACATAATTGGCTTCAGAAGTTCCTCCAGGCCCTTGATATGTTTCCTATGGCTAATCTCACCGTGAGTAATCTCCTTCAAATATCCTGTTCACATGAATTATCTTGATTAACAAACAAGGTTAACACAAAAACCCTTTAACTTGCTGACACCATCTTCCTTCCACAAAATCCGTCAATCCTGTTCTTTTGTTCCAGCCTTCGCTTTCATGTTAGAAGCAAATTCTTTTCCTACCATGCCAAATCTATTGACAAATCTACACTCCACGTGAAGGGTAATCAAGGTCGTGTCATCTTTGTATCCGATATTACTGACTGATCTGCTTATTACCTTAAAAACAAATCTTACAGGGTTTTTCTCATCATGATCATCAGTGGCAGAATATTGACTTGAGTTACCGTACCTGGATGCAAGTTTTACTCCTGCAATTTTTAAGCCAATTTCTCCATCAGAGCTTGCATACAAATGCATCCAAGGGGAACACAAAGCCCTTCTCAAGCACACTGAGCCACAGCTTACACCACTATTTGTGTAAATACCTCTAGAAAGTCAAAGCAGCAACTGCCCACCTTCTCACAGTTCCTTGGGGCTACACCTCTTTCAGGTTTGAATCTATAGAATATTTTACTTCAAAAGGATCTGCAGAAGAAAATTAAGGTTTCCCTGAAGCTCTGTTGACTCTGAGACTACTGAATGGTAGACGGTGGATGGAACAAGGCATCCAAAAGAACTTAACCAACATCTTAACCAGGTTAAGTCTATGGTTGTCTGCTGAAGTCTGCTCCTACCTGTCAAGGTAATAGAAAAAGGACGAGTATCGTGAGAAGGTACCAGGAAACACCCAGCGAGTCATCATCACCCTCCAGTCTTGTTTATGGAGACTGAACGTATCTCACTAACAACCGAATCCAACAGCAGTTTCTCACACAATTATTAAACAAAAAGTTCCTAGGCAGTTAGTTTTACAACACAATCCTGAATTCTGAAGAATTATTACCAAATAAAATAGGCTAAAAACAACAACTTTACCAGAAAAGGGGACCTTAAAACCCCCTATTGCCCAGAAAAATCAGCTTCCTCTGACTGAAAGACACCGATACCCTGTTTCTCCCATTTTATATAACACTGTTCCAGTGTTTCCAGAAAAGAAACCTCTAAGTTCTTTAAATATGAAGTGTCTGTCAAACGCTCCAGAGGACAAACATAAAATTGGAATTACCATGTCAACACTGCAGAGGGATAACTGAGAAGTGGGGGCTGTTACAAAGTACACACAAGGATTGAGTTTCAAACTAGAATCCAGTTGCTAACGATTATCTGTTTTACAAAATGCCTCCGTCTACCCAGACCTTCCAGAATGACAGTTATTCAAACCTGGCTCTTGACCTTTTCAAAGCACCAGGAGATCTCCAGATTAAAGCCTAAATTCTCATCCTTGGTAGTTTTCAGCTTCCTCACATTAAGGATTCTATTTTGGTCCTCATCCATTTTCCCCCCAGGACATCTCAAAGCCATCATCAGTCTCCTGCATCACTCCTGTGCAGATGAAACCTATCTCTTAAGCTTGCTCACCTCTGCTCACGTGCTGACGCATTTAAACCATATTCAACAAATCAAGCAGATACGCCTTATCCAATGCCGCTGTTGAATCAGCAGCAGCAAGCCTACCAAAACCAGGCTGGCTGGAAGGGTGTCTCCGTTCCCTCCAGCAATCTCAGAATACTTCAAGCATGGTTTTCTTTTAATTCCCTACGCCTGCCCACCACCTCCCTGTGGTAGGAATACAAAAGCACAGATAAACTTCGTGGGAGAGAACATTATTTGGGATTCTGATTTATTTCACTAATACCTTGCAGGTATAGGGCGGGCCTACAAGAAAGCTGGGGTGGGCTTTTACCAAGGGCAGGGAGTGACAGGACAAGGGGTAATGGGTTTAAATTGAAAGTGGGGAGATTAAGATGGGACATCAGGAAGGAATTCTTCCCGCAGAGGGTGGGGAGGCACCGGGACAGGTTGCCCAGAGAAGCTGTGGATGCCCCATCCCTGGAAGTGCCCAAGGCCAGGCTGGATGAGGCTTGGAGCAACCTGGGCTACGGAAGGTGTCCCTGCCCATGGCAGGGGGTGGGACTGGGTGGGCTTTAAGGTCCCTTCCAACCCAAACCCTTCTGTGATTCCACGATAGGATCATATGCTCATGGCATCAAGTTCTTCATCAGACAAAGAAGGATTCTTTGAATAGAGAAATGTCCTTCATATCGTCTTTTAAATGCATACCTTTTTCCATATTACAGGAAATATTTCCAAAGGTGGTCAGGCATTATTTTCTAAAAATCAGTACCTGAGGCAAGGAGAACAAAGGCAATGTTGCATTTCCTTGCAGACGTGTATTTATGCCTCCTTTCACAATGACTCACACAATCAGGAACTTGGTTGGGGTCAAGGAATAATACATAGCCTAAATATTAATTTAAATGTAATTAAAATAGTACTAATTACAATTATAAAAGAATACTACTAAATTATCCAAGGCATTATTTCATATGAAAATAATCTGTGTAGTTCCCTCAACTGAAAGACACGGGCAGGGAACAACCTGGCTATCCTGGTGCATTCCTTCATTCCCTTCCTTTTCTTGTGATCTCACTCCATGGGGAGACAATACACTCCAACAATCACACCATGTATAGGGTAACCTGCCATCAGTTTCCTCCAACAGAACTCTAACCCTTTCACTATCTAGCAACTATTTTTTCCTCATCCATAATAAAACTAGCTGTAGTCATGTGACCTAGCAACAACAGACCTGTCTTGCCTTTTTTTTTTTCCCCAAAAAAGCACAAAACACCTTAATGATGTGTTTAAGTGATTTATTCCTTAAGTTTAGCAAAATTATTTTCTCTAGGTTTCCTGCAAATATCAACCTGCCATGTGCTCACTTTGGCACTGCTGAACTTCAGTCACCCCAGGAGCTAGCTCTAGCTAAGCCAGCCTCTAGCTAAGCAAGAACAGCGTTGAAAAGTTCAGCCTGACGCGTTCTTATTAGCACCTACCACGGGATTCAAGTATATGGAAATGTATTTGAGCTGGAATTGACATTTTTATGTCTATCAACTCACAGACCCACAGAGCGGTAGGAGTTGGAAAGGACCTCTAGAGATCATCTAGTCCAACCCCCTGCCAGAGCAGGATCCTTTGGAGTAGGTCACACAGGAACAAGTCCAGGGGCTTGGGGAAGTCTCCAGGGAAGGAGACTCTACCACCTCCCTGGGCAGCCTGTTCAGGGCTCTGTCACCCTCACATGGTCACCAACTCATGCTGAGCAAAGCCCCACCGACTGATTAGTTTCACAGACACCCCAGTATAGGTGCCTTTGCGAAGAAAGAAGACATGAAGTTGGCATCCCCTCTCTCGTCATGCCATGTTGTGGCTAGAAGGAAAGCCGCCCCACTCCAGCCCAGCAGCGACAGCGTGCCGCAGGAGCAGGGGACCAGAGGCAGGAGCGAGCCTTTCCCCACTGCCCACGGGAGACGGAGTCCACCACGGAACCACCACGCCGGGGGAGAGCCTTTACTGCGTTTGAGAAGAGGCAGCAGCGCTTCTGTTAATCTCATCCCAAAATATTCAAACTGGGTACGAAGGCAAGCCTAGATTTTCTTTTTTTTTTTTTTAAACCACTCCTGCCTAGCCTAGAAGTGCAGTTTGAATACAGGGAGCAACAGGCAGCTTCAAGAGACAGTGCAGTAATCCTTGTGAGTGATGTACAAGGTCACGCAGAGTGCAGCAAGGTCCAGCTCAAGCCAAACACCACGCTTCAGTGAAAGCACGTCACAACGCGCACTGTGCTTCAGCTGTGAGATGCAGTCAGGCTCCTGTCATATGCTCCTGTAACCGATGCTGCTGGCCTCTCTTTCCTCGCTTTGCATAAAAACCCATATATGTCATTAAATAGCTTCTACCATTTGGCTAGGGGCTGTACGTGACCTACAGGCATATTTTTTTGAGACAGGGAACTCCATACAACACAGTTACACAACAAGAATTATTCAAAGAGCCCCCAAGTTAACAAGCTAAGTACAAGTTCTCTTATAAACTTAAAAAGCTAAATGAGAGTTACAAAACCCCAAAGTGCAGTATTTCACAAAGAAATTTCCATGTGCACGAAAAGTGAAAGGGGATTTAAATTACATTAGCAGAATATTTCTTCCACTATCACACTTAAAAAAACAAAATAATGAAAAAAAGACTGTAAATTTTTCAGTTTTAGAATAACAGCAACATGTAAGACAGCATTTGTTAAAAAAAAGAGAAAATATCTTGTCTTACCTTAAAGAATAACAACAAGAATTTTGCATACCTGCAGGGTGGTAGAAACATGGAATCCTTCATGAGCACAGATCCAGAAAGCAGTATATACCAGCATCTTGCAATAGTTTCTGAGCTGTAAGAAAAGAAATCATCAATATTTACTTTCTTCTTCCAGCAGCTCAAAAATACATTATCCTAAATGTTACTGTAGTAAAATAATGATCTATCATTACCCATTTGATCTGTGTACTGGAAACCTAAGAAATTTCATTGAACACTAATAAAAACTAATTTTTCACCCACACACACACAGACTTCTACATCCAGAATGTTTCTTATCCCATACAATTTGACATTCAAGTCAACTTAAAAATTTATTCTATTAAAACAAAATAATTAATTTTCAGTAAAATTCCGGTGAAAATTTCAATTCCAGTGAAAGCGTACGTGAAGCTCAAACAACTGTCTATTCGGTGCTGAAGTCGATCAGCAACTCGAGCTGGACAGCCACACTACACGGATAAACTACGAGCCTCATACACCTGACTCCAGCCCTGCGCATCCACCTCCGCACCCGCACAAGCACGGGGCGCTGTCCCCTGCTGTGCCACTCCACCCCAAACGGATGGGCAAGGCATCTGCCAACACCTCAACCTACCGCCCAGCTCTGTGGGTCCAGACCGAAGCTACCGACCGTGTTTTACCACAGGAGATTCTGCCTCTTCCTACAGCATCGCACTGACGCTTCCCATCTGCAGCCTAACATCACCTTCCTCTTCCCACAGGCAACCCCCTCACACGCACCGACCTGGTCCCTGTCACACGTACCCACCACAAACTAGCAGGTGGCACCCCCTTTAGACTCGGGGGGAGGATGTGCCTTACACAGGAAGCTAGGAGCAGCTGCAAGAGGATGAACACACCACAAGCCATGCTAAAAGGTGAGTGAAACCAAAAGTGTGTTTGCCTCCCAGCAGGAACCTGGGAAGAACCCTAAGCTGAAACACTAATCCAGCCACTGAAGAGCGGGCGGTTGAGCTCCATCACTCCTCCCATGCAGGACACTCGGCAAAGCAACCGTGCTGCGGCAGCGCCAGCTCCAGGGGAAGAGTGCCACCTACTGAGCTGTCACCACGGCTCCCACGACCACAGAGGTGACACCACCCGCTTTTGGACTGATCCTGCGTGTGAACACCCCTCTGCCATCCGTGGGAGCTGTGCTGAGACTTCACGGGCACCCCTCGGGTGTCAACACGGTACTACGGTTACTACCGCCTCCTGCCAAAGCTTTTACCCAGCCTGGCCAAGCTCGACTGCCACAACGTCTCGTATGTACAACTGCTGAAAAAGCAAGCGAGGTACTACAGCACGCAAAACCGTGGGCGTGCTACGCTTCTGCTGAACGCCAAGCCATACGGACTTACCAAAAGAGAACTTGGTTGCCCTTGTACCTCTCATAGCGGGCACTCGATGACATTATTCTGAGGGAAGAGAAGTTTAATTTCAGTTTTAATCCCCAAAGATAAGACATTAATCACATTTCAGTAGAATCGCTTTAAGGCTCTAAGACCTCAAATTCAACCATTTTTTTAGTTCTAAACAAAGCATGTGCTTAACCATAAAATTCAAATTATTACAGTGTTCTTCCTTATCCAAACAGATGATATACAGCGTGTTCTCTGAGTGTTTAAATCACTCCCACACACTGGAATTACCCATAGCAACAGAACTGAAGGAACTAACACACTTCCAACACACTTTCTGTGCTTTGTTGGCCTTCCATTTTACATATTCTGAGATCACTCGAGTGTCTGAAGCATCGAACAGCTTTTGTAACCTAGAGTTAACACAGGGCACTGTCTACACAGTCCTTTGTAGAAAACAGGAGTAAGCTCTGCCTTCCTTCTTTGCAGAGCTAATTAGTTTAGATCCCGTGCCACATTATTGTAGTGACTTAGCCCTGCAATGGGCTGGGCTAACGTTCTGCCACCGCGAAACGCGGGCAGAGGAAAGCTTTACTCTTCTCCACATAAATCCAGTCACAGATAACAGTTGTGCTACGCAACGCTTAGTAGCTCCATAGTACTTTACCTTAGCTGATGTTCCCTGAAATGCGAGAGTATGTCCAGTCCATGAAGGAAAGAATAGATAGTATTTAAGTCCTAAAAAGAAAGAGAAAAAAAAAAGGTATGAGCAACTCCACTCACAGCACCTAATCATCCAGCATTACCTTCACAGATCCTGCAAGAAGGTACACAGACCTACGAGACATAATTCTAGAGACAAAGCCCAAAATACTAGATAGGCCAGGACACACGCAGCCTTGAAGAACCCCATCCATGCTTCAGCTGTGGAAGTGAAAAGAGTAAAATCCAGCTGATGCATGAACATTTCCCTGAAAAGATTTATTAAAAATATCTCTGAAACTATTATTTGCATGAACGGATACAGCAGCAACACATGGAATAAGCTAAATAATGCAGTGGCATTTATCCAAGCTCAAAAATTGTTGAAACCCTGTAACACCTCTTTAGAGAGGGAGTTTTGCAAAATGAGTTTGCTAATAGCAGAGAACCCTAGAGAAAACCTAAACTGTATGGTCTAGCCACTATATATGGTGGAGACAATGACAGTGCCTTTTCATAGCAAAAGTGTTGTGATTAGGGAGAACAAGCTATTTCACATCCACCTCAGATCCAGCTGGTAGCCCTACTACAGGCTCTACTCCATTCTACTGCCTCTCTCAGTCCAGTCCTGGACCGGAGGCCAACAGTAGAACTTACTCCAAAATAGCAAAGAGGGAGGCAACGAAGTTTTAGATTTGTGTCCCACCTCCTGCTACAAAGACTCAGCATCACATCCGCACCATCCATTAGCAACCACAGAAGCCAACAACATTTTTGAAGCAACAGTATTAAAACATGAAGATTATTTCATTTTAAAAAGTGGACTTGACACAGAAGCTGCGATTAGGAGATCCAGCTGTTTAAACTTCTCACTACACAGGATCCTCCTCAGTCACTAAAATATCTGTGCTGATGGGGCAGACCACATGCTGGGGAAAAGCTCACTGGGGCTATTCATCACTTCACTGACTCCCTGAACAGGTGGGCTGGAAGTGTTAAACACACGCACAACCAAATCATTATACACCCCATAGCAGCCTCTCCAGCCTGGCCTTGGAAAATATGCCCTGAATTTTCAAGCGCTGCATTTATACAGTGTTTACAAAAGATAAATCAATATGAATGCTAGCCGCAGGATTGACAATGGATTTACTTCAGAAAAGTTCTTTGGCTTAATAGTCAATGTTTAGAAATAACGGACACAGACCGTTGTACCAAATGAAAGGTCACACGTAATTGCAGGCCATGTAAAACCAATAAAACTGATTTCTTTCTTTTTTTTTTAAATGTCATTACCAAAGCCCATGAAAATTAAACAGAAAGCCCGAATGCTTAACACATATTTATAAAGCACCTATTTCACACAGTCCAATCTCCTTTTAATCCAACAGCTGTGAATTGCCACAAACTTGACTTTTCTTAGTGAAATGCCCATGAGCACCAGCTCTGAATCACACTCCAAACACTCCACTTGCTTGTGATGACTGCCTGGCAGCCAAGGGTCACTTGAGGTATGGGACCAGCTCGGTTACTGAGCTCTCTCCCTTTCGGGGAAGGGAACTGCCTCAACTTCACCAGAAAACATTTGGCGCAGGAATGTGGCAACAATATCAAGCAATCCCAGAAGGGTTTGGGCTGAGGGGACCTTAAAGCCCCCCAGTGCCCCCCCCTGCCATGGACAGGGACACCTTCCATAGACCAGGTTGCTCCAAGCCTCATCCAGCCTGGCCTTGGACACTTCCAGGGATGGGGCATCCACAGCTTCTCTGGGCAACCTGTCCCAGTGCCTCCCCACCCTCTGCGGGAAGAATTCCATCCTGATGTCCTATCTCAATCTCCCTCTTTCCGTTTAAACCCATTACCCCTTGTCCTGTCACTCCCTACACTTGCAAAAATTCCCCCCCAGCTTTCTTGTAGCCCCCCCAGGCACTGGAAGGGGCTCTAAGGTCTCCCCGGAGCCTTCCCTTCTCCAGGCTGAACCCCCCAACTCTCCCAGCCTGTCCCCATGGCAGAGGGGCTCCAGCCCTCGGAGCATCTCCGGGGCCTCCTCTGGACTTGCTCCAACAGCTCCGTGTCCTTCTGCTGTTGGGGGTCCAGAGCTGGAGCAGAACTGCAGGGGGGTCTCCCCAGAGACAAGTAGAAGGGGCGAATCCCCTCCCTCACCCTGCTGTCCACGCTGCTCTGGATATCACCGCTTCTCTAGACACCATCCAGTGTCTCAGTAAATAGTACCTCGGTGGTTAAAGAATTTATGGAACCACTGAAATAAAACCCGTGCTCCACAGTATTCCTCCTCCACCTGGAAGTCTCTCCCAGCCCAGAGGAGCACTCAGATGGGTATAAAGGGGGAAAAAAAATCAGCATTTGGTGTCACAATTAAAGCTGAATTTTTCAGTCTTCATAACTCACTGTGTTTACATATGCTTTCCCACATTCTTCTCCATGACTGAGACAAAGATATAACATAATGTCTTTAAAATATGGTTTAGATTAGCCCTCTATTTTTAAGAGGTACAGAAATTTGTAAGCAGAAAAAAGCTTACGTTCATGTTTAATCACAAAGTTTAAGATGTACCTATGAAAAACCACCACATCCTTACTTGGGAATTACTCTCCACAGAGCACAGCCCCTCAGCAGGTTACTTCACCATGGGCTGTTTCCTGCAGGCTGACTGGGCAGGGCTACGGTACCTACTCACCATGCTTATTTCAGAGTTTGACGCATAAACAGTTGGTAAATTCAGGAGATAAACACTTGGTTAAAGGGATTCATGCCTGGGAAGCATCCTTCAGCTCAGACTTCAGCTGTTGAGACATGCAGGGGCAGAGAGAACAGCTGAGCCAGAGCACAGCACTGAAAAGGGAAGGCAAAGCTTCCTACTCCCTCATCACCAGTGAGGGCATTTAACCTTCCCTGGCCCATCTTACTGCTTTAATGTTGATAAATCAACTAAGAACCATCACATTGTTCACTACCCACCCACTTCAACAAGCTGAATGCGTTAGCTACTCACATGCCAGTTCCTATAGGTGCTTTTAAATCGGGATCTGTAACACTCTCCCTAAAAATAACTGACTTCCGAAGCAATCACCTCTCCTAATTAAGCAGAGCAGGGGATTTTCTTGGGTGCCACTGAGCACAACAGCTAACTCTGAGATCACGTCTCCCCGGAAGGTCGGAGGGCTGCCTCTTTCCTCCTGGGCACCGATGCTTTTTTTGTTTGTTTAAATAGATTCTTAAATTCTTCCCGGAGAGAGTTAGGGAGGCACTGGGACAGGTTGCCCAGAGAAGTGGTGGATGCCCCATCCCTGAGAGTGTCCAAGGCCAGGCTGGATGAGGCTTGGAGCAACCTGGTCTAGTGGAAGGTGTCCCTGCCCATGGCAGGGGGTGGCACTGGGGGGGCTTCAAGGTCCCTTCCAACCCAAACCATTCTGTGATCCTGTTTGCTACAGGGCACCAGGCAAAATTCTTCTTGTCCCTCACACGCCACTTCAAAGTCTAACAAGGGGGGTTACATGCAGCTCATCAGCCCAGTCTACCCTGATAACAGGAAAATTTCACATCAGTTGCACTTTGTGAAGCTTCTTCCATTACTCCCACCTTGATTAAGAAAAAATGCTTAGAATAAAACTGAAATTATGTTCAAGAGACTACACTTTGAGGCTTGTTTTATAGTTTTGCAAGCAAGGAAGACAATTTAATGCCATCACAGCCAAAGGCAGCGAGTGGCCGATGACGGGGAGGTGCTGCCACCACCTCATGGACTCACTGCCAGCCTGGCAGCACCCCAAAATCCCCCCCAGTCAGAGATGGAAGCCTTCACTTCTCTAATTCAAGCTTTATAAAACTGAAAATGGGATTAGGTGGTGTTCTTTTTAAGGATGGATTTGTGTTGCCACACTAGTTATAAAAGGCAGACAGACACATAACCACAGTACAAAGGGTAGAGACCATTTCCACAGGTGAAAAGAAAGGGTTATGGAAGGATGGAGCCAAAGGGCAACAACTTGCATGACAACAGCAGGACGCACAGTTATTTGCTGGAAAGCTGCACACCCTTTCCATACCCTTCCCTATAATCTCAGTACATACTTCTTTCTGCCAAAACCAAACCAAAACACAAATAATTGATGAAAAACAACTTCCCCACATGTCCTACATTAGGGACCAAGGTCAAAGTTACTTTATTTTGCAATCTTTATTTTCAGAGCTATACATCAGCTGATAATAATAGCTTCAACCGTTGACAGAAAACCACCTTGCCTGGGTTATTTAACGAGAAATTATCTCACAGTTTCTACCCAACTAGGTAAAAATGCAGCTCCAGTGAGCCAAGGGAAGGAGGGGAACCGGGCAAAGAGTGGAAGGAAGCAGGCCACGCAAGAGTTGTTCATCTTGCAAGGAAGGAGGTGTTCTAGACTGAGAGTCAAAACACGAGCACGGGGACCACAACTATTCCTGCACAAAGGCGCTCAGGGTGCCTTTTCTTTTTGCCTCCAGTTATGGCACTGAGCTCACGAGCAGAGATGCTCTCGGCTGCTACCTCTGTTTAAAAAGCAGAGAGCACTTGTTTTTTCTTATTCTTCACATGTAGAATACACGGTATAAAACAGAGTGGGTTTAAGGGAAGTGCAGAAATCAAGGGATTGCTCTGCCCCGGCACTGTTATCGCCAAACCCGGCACAAGGAACGCCCGGCCTCGACACGCCAGCAGCCCCCAGCTCCACTCAGCAGCAGCTTTTATCACCCCTGCACACACATCCTTCCGACCAAAAGCTTAACCAGCGGCTAAACCAAAAGCGGTGTAAAAACCATAGAGATTTTAGTAACAGTATAGTGCTATATAAACCAGCTTCTATGATATCATCCACACCCCGATATACCATGAAGCGAGGCACTTGAGTAACCAGAACGCTTCTCGTTTTCCCTGCCAGATGCCAGCTCACGCCATTACCGCAAGATGCCAGAATTACAGAATAAGGGAAAATAAAGGCAGCACCAGTAGCATCGACTGAAAACTCATCACGTGAAAGCA